GTTGCCTGGGTATGAGTCCAGCCCCTTAACCACTATGCCACCTGCTGGCTCTGCCAAAGTTTTTATCATTACTATTATTATTATTGAAAAATACACCCTTTTCAGACAGTTTTGTTATTAGCTTTAAGGAAAATGCAAGAAACAGCATAATTCTCTTTTATTTATCCTAAACATGGTAAGCAGGGAGAAGGGAAGTGAGTCAGATTGCATCCAGTTTATAAATTTCATGGGACCTTTGCCAGATTTTCCCAAGCAGGTTAATACTTTGCACAATAACACATTAAAAAAAAAATGCCAGAAGATGTATACACTCACTTGAGAGAGATAAGGGAAGAAAACAAGAAAGCACCCCCATGGGGCATGGTCATACTACAATCCCTGCTTCTCCATTTCTCCCTCCTTTCAGGACTCTGGGCACACACACACACCTGGCATGTGTTTCAAGCTGCTAGTCTGGGTCTTGAACAGTGCAGTCAGCTTTGTAGATACAGCCACCTTAGCCAGCAGGCCACAGGTTGGCCCTACAATACCAGTTTTTTTGTTTGTAGACACATTTTTACTCTAGGGCACATGTGCTCACCAGAGAGAGAAACAGAAAACGAAAAATAACGACCGGTGGGGGTGACCACACCACAATTTCTTCTCCTCGATTCTCCTCTCAGGATCTTGGGCACGCACACACATGCACCTGGCATAAGTTCCAAGCCCCCTGGTCCAGGACTCAAATCATGGTAGGCTACATAGGAGTCCAGTAACGTATCCATTATGCCATTTGCTGGTCCTAGTTTTTTAATCTTCCTATCTGGTTACAGAGCTCCCTGTCATCAGGGGTGGGAATTCCCTCAGAATAGACTTCTTCTCCTTTTTTTATGGAAATAAATTGGTGATAAAACGTTCTTTTTTTCCCCCTCCACTAGAACACTCGGTATAGGGATGAACAACCTTTTCTCAAAATTATGAATTGGTTACCCCCATACTCCCTTCTTTTGTGGGAGGGGTTTTTTTCCTGAATAAATATATTTTTAGATTTTATTTATTTTAATAGAATGGCAGCTATAACTACATTTCTAATATTTTTCTACCAGCTCTGGATTTTTTCCACTAAGCAAATACTCAATAGTATCTAAATATCTCTTGTGGTTTTCATTTCAAGCCAGAAGAGAAGCAGAAACATACTAAGTAGGCTTGTAAGAGACTTATTAATTCAACAAATGTTTATTGATTTCTAACTTAACATTAGATTTTCAACTCAACCAGCTAACTTTGTTAGGTGCCTGGAATAAAGTGGATCTTATTTGATCAGGCTTTTGATAAATAAATAGAAATTGACAAGTCAGAAAAGGAAAGGAATAGCATGAGTACAGCACAGAATTATGAAAGGTAAAGCCATTAAGGTAAGGCTAGGTATCATCTATGGTTCGAGTGTAAGATACATTTGGATAAATGGCAAAATATGAAGGTAGAAAGTTGGGCTTAGCTGTTTGAGGGCTTATGTATCATGCTAAATATTATACTGAGGACTTTATAATCAATAGAGAGCTATTCAAGATAGATAATGAAGGAAATTTTAGATGATTCATTCCAGTAGCAAGAGGATAGATTGGATGGGAGAAAAAATCAAGATGGAGAACTTCTTAGGAGTTTAGTAAAATATGTTAGGTAAGAAATGACGCAAACTTATGTAAGGCAGTTGCCTTGAAATGAATAGATGTGAAATATAATTGGTAGAGTATAAAATATCTTCAGAGAGTATTCAGCAATGCTCCACACATTTGTGAATACTTAAAATTATCTCAGCCTTTGTCAAAATAAAAGCTTAGTCAGAAGCTAATTGCACTTTACTGAATGGTGGCATGAGGAGTTCTGTACACCCTCCCCCAGCAAAACAATAATAAATGCAGAAAATTACATTTTTGTATGCTATGATGATGCTCAGGAAATGAATGTAAATTAATTAATTAATTAATTGAATGTTTCAGAAGAAGATTACAGTGCACTTTTAACTAGATTCTAGCTTTGTCCATATTTTTAGTTTAAGGTATTTTGTGAATCAATAAGATGTGGGGAAAAAGTTTAGTATGGAAGGGAGAAAGGGGAAAGGAGAAGGAAAAAACAAATAAAAGTATGCTTAATTGACAAAAAATAAGATGCTATTTGCTAATAAGTTGTGGATTAATATCTTTGGCTTGACTGACATGTGTAGTATTTGTGCTGGAAAAAGAAATGTTGTATACTGTAAAGATATGATTAAATGTAAATAAATAAATTAATTTTAAAAAGATAATTATTTTTAAAAAGCCAACCACTTAGTCATTGAAAATTGTCCAAAGAACATACTACAATTAGAGGAATATTTATTCCAGGAAATCTACTAAGTCTTGGTAAGAGTTGTGAGGGAGTGTGGCATTTAGGTCTCATTCTATTCTCTCTCCTACCTCAATTCAACATGACGGAAGTACGGTTCAAGGTAAGTACAGCCATAAAGCAACATATCCCTTCAGCTCCCAGTTTAGGGCTATTGTAACTCCTAAAAAGAGATAGATTGCCATCATTTCTCATCTTTCCTCAGCTCCTTGCAGAAGCTCCAATCCAAGAAAGAACAGCTAAGAGGCCTGGTCCCTAGCCCTGGCCCAACTTGTGGAGTGGAAACTTTACCCTAGGCAGGGCAAGGGAAGAATATTAGGTTCTGATTACTGTCACCGAATTCTTTAGTAGGGTGGAGGTTCCAAACTGAGAAAGGCAAGCTGAGAAGATCAGAGACTACCACCTCTACCCAGCAGTTTGTAAAACAAGGCTATCACTCCAAAAGAAATGCACCAGGTCAGCAGGTGGCATGGTGGTTAAGGCACTGGATTCCCACATGGCACTCTGTGGTTCGAGTCCTGAACCTGGCAGTTTGAAAATTATGCTGACCATGTGTGCGTGTATGTCCAAAACCCCAGAAGGAGAAGGGATTTGGGTATGGCCATCCTACTGGGGAGTGGTTTCTTATTTTCCCTTTCACTGTCTTGCTCCTTGGTGAGTACACATGCCCTATGGCAAAAACCTTGAAAGAAAGAAAGAGAGAAAGAGAGAAAGAAAGAAAGAAAGAAAGAAAGAAAGAAAGAAAGAAAGAAAGCAAGCAAGCAAGCAAGCAAGCGAGCAAGCGAGAAAGAAAAAGAAAGAAAGGCACCATTTTTCTTGCTGCCAGCTATAGAGTACTGTCACAGAAATTTTGCTGCGGAGAAAGGCAGACTGAAAGAACAAAATACTTCATAGCTCTTCTCAAGTGAATTAACTTTGAAACAGAGTGTGGGAGAGTTCAAGCCTAAGGGCATTTTCAGTAAACAGTGGAAATTGGGCCAATAGGTGACACAGAGGTTAAAGTGTCTGAATCCCACATTGAGGACTGCTCAGTCTGTGTCCTGGACAGGCAACTTGAAAACTGTGTGTGCCCAAAATTCCAAAAGGAGTGGAAAAGAAGGGATTGCTGTGTGGCTGCACCCTCTGGGGGATTGATTTCTCACTTTCCCTCTCTTTCTTTCTCTGACTTTGGCAAGCACACATCCTTCCTATAACAACAACAACAAAAAGCATACATTTTGGTTCTAAGCAATTAAGTGGAGGCTAATAGTTCATAGTGTTAGAATACATCTTAAAGCCTTGCTCCAAATACCTCCCAAGAGGGAAAGGGGCCTAAGTTTAATTGGATGAGATTATGGATTTACTCATGCCTCAGAGCATTGAACAAAACAGTAGAGCAATCATTTGGGAATTAGCAGAAGCAAAAAGCCTAGTATGATAGCAACATAGGCAGACACTTACCAGACCAGGGAAGAGATAGCTGATGATCTCATGCTAAAATACTGTTTTCCCAGGGTGACAGGGCATCTGCCCAAAGCTACACCCTCTGAGGAACAACATAAAAGACTGTATTCTACGGAGAAAAATCGACTTAATTAAAATTGTTGAGATAGGGACCAGCAGATGGCGTAATGGCTATGTTGCTGGACTCCCATGTAGTCAACTGTGGTTTGAGTCCCAGACCCAGTGGCTTAAACTCA